ATTTTAATTACCAGAGACAGTCCTAATTCACAAGAGAGGGGATGGGTCAAAAGCCTCAAAGCATTACGTTTTCTGGACCTCACGCTACTGTGTGGAATTGGTGACGTCGTATGAGGGGCGTGCTCACATTTGGGGCTGTTAGTATCCCTCTGAACGGTGTTCTCCCCACAGAACTGTTTCTGCTAATGAATCAGTTACAAATTTTAATTACCAGAGACAGTCCTAATTCACAAGAGAGGGGATGGGTCAAAAGCCTCAAAGCATTACGTTTTCTGGACCTCACGCTACTGTGTGGAATTGGTGACGTCGTATGAGGGGCGTGCTCACATTTGGGGCTGTTAGTATCCCTCTGAACGGTGTTCTCCCCACAGAACTGTTTCTGCTAATGAATCAGTTACAATGTCATCAATGGGCAAGTAAACAAGATCACAGAGCCGCTAGCTAGTAGCTCTGCCAAAGGGCAGTGGCATTTGCAGGGAGCCCCAAAGCAGCACCATGGCTGAGGAAAGCAGCAGAGCTTGGGAACATGCTGGCTAGGTGAAGAGGGCAGGTCAACACCCTACAGAGGGCTTTCGGGTGACCTATTGCTTGGCTTTGAATATGGAGGAGAACTGCAAACCTCAAAAGGTGATGGTTTTAGTACTAGATAGTGAGGCCCACCCATCAATAGGGCTATAAGCTGCTTTCTCCTGAACATTTCTTTAACATACACAACTTCATGCTACATTTCCCTTCACAATCTCATCTCTTTACCATCAGTAGTTGCCTTGGTATACTTGTCCGCAGAGCCACATCTTCCTTTGCTGTATCAAACAGGAGCCCAGGAATCACATCTAACAAGAAATCTCCCCAAGAACTGCAAGGTAGATGGATACAAAAATGACTGAAAGTGTCACACTATAATAAAAGCCCACCTGGGCTGTTTCCCATCTCCATAGAGCAGAAGCGGTGTACAGCCAACTTGGATAAACAGTGCTTACTTTATTAGCAGTGGTCATAGCGTGTTAATGTGGAGTGCAGATTTGAAGTTAAAGCAGAGATTCTTAGATACATCTGAACGCTAGAGAATATCCCTCCCTACTCTTTTGTATATGGAGTGAATTTTAGGAGACTTTACAACTGAATCCATTACTGTACAACATGGGCGGTGGGTATAAGAGGCAAGAGGAGGCAATGCTTTCCCTGGGTCTTAGTGCTCAAGCCTCTCCCTCTCCCTATTCTGAAGGCTCCCACAGCAAGCTCTTGCTGCATGCAGACAGGTGAACGAATCAAATGCTGCGAGAGAGACATATCTACCCTGACTTAACTAACTTCATGAACACTGGTCCTACATGGTGACAGGCAACGTCTTTTGCTGTTGTATATACCCCAAATTCGGTAATTTCCACTCCAACTCGTCTGATAAAGTGGGTTTTACCCATAACAGCTCATGACCTAATAACTGTGTTAGCTGCTAAGGTGCCACAGGACTGCTTATTGTTTTTACAGTTACAGTCTAACACGGCTACCCTTCTGAAAGGGGTTTTAAGAGAACCTTCCACCAATAAAATCCTTTGTAATGCCTAAAACCTTTGCAAACCTATTTTTAACATGCACGTATAATGAAATTTCATTAATATGTCTGGCTATGAAAATCACAAAACAAATTAGTGTACCCTTTTTCTAAAAGCAATGTACTTTGTTATGAACGCACTAAACCACTCTGTTTCAGTGAGTTTAAATAACCTGGAATGAGGACATTTTTAATTAATCAATTACTTTGTGAAGGCTAAAGAGTATATTTAAAATATGAAATCAGCTTAGAAATACTGATAAAGAAAATGTAAAACAGAGAAGGGCAGTATCATGTATTCCCTAATATTTAATGTTGTATTCAGCTGGACACTAACTTGTACTCACTACAAAGTTTTTGCAAATACATTTCTTGACAAACTTGGGGTACATCAAGAAACTTGTGACTGACATTTTTCATTCCCAAATTTAGTGTTTTTAATTAGGTAACTTCAGCATGTCTAGGCTTCACAATCTGGCACGCAATGCAAAACATGCTCCATTGTCTTTAGAAAGGGTTTTTTCCCTCAAATGTCATTTGCTACATTTGGGTTCAGGGATTTGGATGGAATGGGTGAGCAGAGAGAAGAGAGAGACAGACTGGGGAGGGGGGACTGTGGGTGGAGCAGGGGCAGGGCCATACGTTGGGGAGCTTGCCCCCTCCTCCCAAGTAGCAGCTTGACCCTCACCCTCCAGTCTAGTGGTTAGGATACTCAGCTGGGTTGTAGGAGATCCTGGTTCAAATCCCCCCCCTACATGTTCAGCCGGGGGTTTCCCAGGGATTTTCTG